TTTATGGCTTTAATTAAATATTTCGGGTACTAATTGGCTTAGAATCATCAAACTTTGTTAGTTGATGCGTCATGGGTCTTTGGAGTAGGTCGACTAAAAAGTAGGTCACTGTGACCTACTTTCGGAAAATTTATGGCTTTAATAAATTATTTCGGGTACTAATTGGCTTAAAATCATAAAACTTTGTCAGTTTATGCGTCATGGGTCCTCGGAGTACAACAATTGAAAAGTAGGTCACGGTGACCTACTTTTGAAAATTTATGGCTTAAATCAAATATTTCAGGTACTAATTGGCTTAGAATCATTAAACTTTGTCAGTTGATGCGTCTTGGGTCCTCGGAGTACAACAACTGAAAAGTAGGTCACGGTGACCTACTTTTGAAGTTTTATGGCTGTATTTAATATTTTCAGGAATTATTTGGCTTAGAATCATCAAACTTTGTCAGTCGATGTATCTTTGGTCCTCGGAGTACAGCAACTGAAAAGTAGGTCACGGTGACCTACTTTTGAAAATTTATGGCTTTAATTAAATATTACAGGTACTAATTGGCTTAGAATCATCAAACTTTGTCAGTTGATGCATCTTGGGTCCTTGGAGTAAAACAATTGAAATGTAGGTCACTTTGACTTACTTATAAAATTTTATGATTATAATTTTAAAAAATACTTTAGGTATTAATTGGCTTAGAATCATCAAACTTAGTTGATGGGTCCTCAGAGAATGACAAGTGATAAGTAGGTCACCATGAGCAACTCTCAGGTACTAATTGGCTTAGAATCATCTTGGGTTCTCAGAGTGTGAATTGGAATTTCAAGGGTTCATGTAAATATACAGGATACTTCGAGGCTTCAAATAGAAGTGATAGGTTGTACAGTTTATCAGAAGAGCGATTCAAGGCCCATGGGCCTCTTGTTAAATTTTGCGGCCATTCTTTTTCAAAATGATTTAGAGGCATATTTTGAACAATTTAAGGCCTATGATCATCAAACTTTGTCAGTTGATGCATCTTGGGTCCTCAAAGTACGTCAACTAAAAAGTAGGTCACCTTGACCTACTTTTTGAATTTAATGGCTAATCTTTTTTGTAACAATTAAGGTCATTAATTCGAATACGGGGAGGCTTTGAATCATTAAATCTTGTAAGATGATGCATCTTGGGGCCAAAAAACATAATTATTAAAAAGTAGGTCACAGTGACCTACTTTTTGAACTTTGCAGGCATTCGATTTCAAAGCATTTTAGAGGCATAATTTGGACATTTTAAGTCCTATGATCATAAAACTTTGTAAGTTGATGCATCTTGGGTCCTCAAAAATGGTCAACTAAAAAGTAGGTCACCGTGACCTACTTTTCAATTTATATGACTATAATTAAATATTTCAGGTACTAATTGGCTTAGAATCATCAAACTTTGTCAGTTGATGCATCTTGGGTCTTCGGGGAAGGTCGACTAAAAAGTAGGTCACAGTGACCTACTTTTGAAAATTTATGGCTTTAATTAAATATTTCGGGTACTAATTGGCTTAGAATCATCAAACTTTGTCAGTTGATGCATCTTGGGTCTTCAGAGTAGATCGACTAAAAAGTAGGTCACTGTGACCTACTTTTGAAAATTTATGGCTTTAATTAAATATTTCGGGTACTAATTGGCTTAGAATCATCAAGCTTTGTCAGTTGATGCGTCATGGGTCTTCGGAGTAGGTCGACTAAAAAGTAGGTCACCGTGACCTTCTTTCGGAAAATTTATGGCTTTAATAAAATATTTCGGGTACTAATTGGCTTAGAATCATAAAACTTTGTCAGTTAATGCATCTTGGGTCCTCGGAGTACAACAACTGAAAAGTAGGTCACGGTGACCTACTTTTGAAATTTTTTTATGGCTGTATTTAATATTTTCAGGAATTATTTGGCTTAGAATCGTCAAAATTTGTCAGTTGATGCATCTTTGTTCCTCGGAGTAGGTTGACTGAAAAGTAGGTCACTGTGACCTACTTTTGAAAATTTATGGCTGTAATTAAATATTTTGGGTACTTATTGGCTAGAATCATCAAACTTTGTCAGTCGATGTATCTTTGGTCCTCGGAGTACAGCAACTGAAAAGTAGGTCACGGTGACCTACTTTTGAAAATTTATGGCTTTAATAAAATATTTCGGGTACTAAATGGCTTAGAATCATAAAACTTTGTCAGTTTATGCGTCATGGGTCCTCGGAGTACAACAACTGAAAAGTAGGTCACTTTGACCTACTTTTGAAAATTTATGGCTTTAATCAAATATTTCGGGTACTTATTGGCTTAGAATCATTAAACTTTGTCAGTTGATGCATCTTGGGTCCTCGGAGTACAACAACTGAAAAGTAGGTCACGGTGACCTACTTTTGAAATTTTATGGCTGTAATTAAATATTTCGGGTACTTATTGGCTAGAATCATCAAACTTTGTCAGTCGATGTATCTTTGGTCCTCGGAGTACAGCAACTGAAAAGTAGGTCACGGTGACCTACTTTTGAAAATTTATGGCTTTAATTAAATATTACAGGTACTAATTGGCTTAGAATCATCAAACTTTGTCAGTTGATGCATCTTGGGTCCTTGGAGTAAAACAATTGAAAAGTAGGTCACTTTGACCTACTTATAAAATTTTATGATTATAATTTTAAAAAATATTTTAGGTATTAATTGGCTTAGAATCATCAAACTTAGTTGATGGGTCCTCAGAGAATGACAAGTGATAAGTAGCTCACCATGAGCAACTCTCAGGTACTAATTGGCTTAGAATCATCTTGGGTTCTCAGAGTGTGAATTGGAATTTCAAGGGTTTATGTAAATATTCAGGATACTTTGAGGCTTCAAATAGAAGTGATAGGTTGTACAGTTAATCAGAAGAGCGATTCAAGGCCCATGGGCCTCTTGTTCCTTACACTATTATAGGGAACTATACATGTACATGTATGGAATGCCAAATAAAGTCAAATATTAAAGATATATTTGATTATTTGAAAATATTATTTTTCTTATTTATTCCAAGCTCTCTGATTGGCTCAAACTTGACCACATGATCAAGTATATAACAGCATATAGACGTGTTACTATTTAAAGATTCTGAAATGCATATCGACTTGATGTTTCTCAAAATAGAAATAATTTTCTGTAAAACAACAAGTTCTGATTTTACAATAAGTAAGTAAATATTTTATTATAGTGACATGTGTATGGTTTTTCAAACAACAAATAGATATAATATAAACGTATATATATTACACCCGGCCCATTGAACCTATATGTCACTTTATATATGTACAATATTTCCATTTTCAATAAATATAGCGCGCATGACATTAATTTGATTGGTATAAATATTTTTGTCTTATGAAAAGCATAAATTTAAAAATTTGGCAGTTTGTCTTTGATGAGTTTTCATTAAAGTGTTTAAAATAGCTAATACAGTGTATGACTTGATGTTTCTGAAATAAAAATTATACTTCAACTCCTATTTATAATTGTGATGTTCTGTAATAATTGGTAAGACGTAACAGTGTCTTAAATAAGGATCTACTTTATATTAAAACATATGAGATATGTTTTTTCAAAAATCCATAAAAAACATAATAAAACAAAGGTAGACTTCTAAATTAGTAAATTCCCTAAATCACTCTACCAGTATAAAGAAAACACAATTACATTAAACAGCTTAATTTATTTTGATCTCTAGTCTCCAAGTGTAAAAAAAAAAAAAAAAAAGCAAGAGAGAAAACTTGTGGCTTGTTCCCATTATTTTCAAATTGAATTTTGTCAATCTCTGTAAAAAAATAATATAACAAATATAGCCCTTTGATGAGGTCGATCCATAGATATATCGGCTTCTCAGAAAAGCATATATACCTTGCACTTCGTGCTCAGTCGATATGCTTTTCTGAGAAGTCGATATATCTATGGATCGACCTCATCAAAGGGCTATATTTGTTATATTATTTTTTACATTAATGCGATTTTTTCCCACATCACTGATGGCGCATTAATCCATTTGATGCGTATCAATTCAGGAATTGATGATGACAATAATGTGGTGTATAATTGTTCGTAAAAATTAATTTAGACCTGGTTTAAATGATTGTTGATCTCTCTTATTCAATTGAGAAATTTTATTTTTTAAATAACGATTTCGTTTGAAGAATAAGTGCACTCATTAATTCTTTGAGGAGACCTACAATTTAATTGAAGAGATCGTTATTTGAATTCTGGGTTAATTTTGTTGAATAGAGGACATTAATAAAATAGTTGCTCTCTCTCTCTCTCTAAAAGATTTGTTACACGCATTAATAAAGTCAATGATGGCATTTAATCAATGAAAGAGAGCAATAAATCAATAATTGTGTACATTAAAATTGATGCTCGCAAAAATCAATTGAAGAGAGCAACGATTCAATATTCCGCTTATCAGTTGAATTCAGCAAATGAATTGATGATTCATGCGAGCAATTTTTCTTTTTCAGAAATAATGAACAATCTACATGTATAACTAATGATCATTGTAAAATCGAACTGGTTTGCCTATTTGATAAAGATAGGAAGGAAGAACTGGAAAGTTGAATTGTAAATGTTTCATCAGGTCATGGACCGGGGGAAATTGTAGCAAATCTTTTTACTTGTTATCTCTCTCATATCCCATACAATATAATTTGAAACCGTGAATGTGCAACAAATAAGATTCACCTGTTCTTTTTTGGTAATTTGATAATGGTAAATCATTTTGTTGACTCTGACCATTAGACAGTTCAGATTTTGTCTGACATCTTTTCTTGTCACTGATCCTCTAATACCCTTAACGTTCAGCCAGTTTAACTTTTGTTTAATCTTTTTGCGTCTTGTTTAGGTTGTCAATTCTGTCAAAGAAAACATAATTGATGTTAAAGACAAGAAAATGGATCAAATTTTCTCGAATGTAAAAAAAAAAGTTTAGTACAAAATCACGCAGAGAGAACGTTCAAAGTGGAAAACTAAAATGAAGATACCTTGTATGATTCTTGTGCCGTGTACTGTATATTTCATATACATCATCTTTTATTCCGAAAACGAGAAAACTACTGAAACAGGAAACGGTCAGTTATGTGAGTTTGTTTGATTGTTTAAGACGTTTCATTCCATGAAAATGATGGAACTTTACAAACATATTTCGGAATACCTTTACAAGGAAATTTTCAGTATGCCAAGAATTCTTTTTTGATTTTAGCCACCAGATATTCCCGCCAGAAAAGACAATATCCTCTTTACAATTACACATTGGATCTCCTTATCGTGGTGGATCCAGGCGTGGTGGATTGGTAAGGTCTTTCTCCTTTATATTTTGAAAGTCTGGACTGAGAAGGACCGATTTTTTATCTGGAATTTTTTTTTTTAGGTTTAAGTCTCAAAGCCGAGCAGGAACACCCGAAAGAATCAAAGAGGAAGCCTACAATGAAACGAAACTTCATTACTATCGTGTTTTCAACGGGGTAAGATAAACTTCACCTTAACGTACGTACATTTCAAATTACAAATATAATGTTTTTTATATACTGGTACATTTTGCAAAAGTGTACTTGGAATCTTTCACCAACTGAACCCGGGGGTTCTCTCTATAGCTAGATCTTTATGAAAAATTACATTCTGAAATAATTTGACTTATTATTTGATTTGTAACCTGCCAAATTGATAAGGAATATTAATTATTTTCGTGTGTAATGTACATGTACTATACAATGTAGCTTAAAACTTAAATATCAAATTCTTGTCAACAGCTCTGAATAATTCGTTTTCATCCAGTCTTCATTAAAAATATTAATTCAACTATAACTATAAATCGAAAAAGCTAAAAGAAAGTTATATATATATTGTGCAAAATTTATCACATACCGATATAGAGGTCCTTTCTGACATACATGTATTAATTTTGTCGAATAAAAGTTTGCAGTATATGAATTTTATTATAGAGAAAATAAAATATGCAAGGGCAAAATGACGAACAGGGTACATTATAATGTACACTACATGTATGTTTGCATTTAACAAGTAGAAATCAACTTCACACATAAAAATGTTCATGAAATAATATACTAGTTGTTCTCCACTAAAATATTTGAATCATACTGACAGTACTTAGAGAGAGAAAATGTATAATTACTTATCTTTATGACATTATTTCAGATAAAGAAAAGATTTATCACTTCTCAGGAGATAGGAATCAACTTGGATCTAGTGGATATTACTCTGGCTGAGGTAAGCAGCGTTTTATTGTAACACGACAGAACTTGTGGTTGATTATATATATCTTCTATCATCTAGGTCCATGAAGGGCCCCTTTACACTCATAGAGATCGTTGAGAGACCTTTGAGCAATTTAAAAAAGAAACGTCCAACCTAAAAAAAGGCTTCGAAATCCATTTCTATCTAAATATGATTGAAGAAGATTGCAGTGAGCCTGTTTGGCGATAAAAAAAAATTGATGATGTTTGCCAGATTTCGTGGAGAAATGCCGAGCAATTTAGGCGCTCAAGGAGTGCACACACTGAAAAATCCCTCAGAGACCGATATAGTTTCATTGCTTTTCTACAAGGAAATATTTCGAATCAGCGATTGCTTTGCAACTAATCAAGATCATTGAGAGATCTACGGAGAATGCCAAAAGATCAAGTGCAAATTTTGTAAGTCCAACAGAAACAACTGTGGAAAGGATTATAGGCGTTCAAACTATTTTGGTTCTTTGAAGGACCTCTGAAAGATCATTGGGGAATACACGAGATCGTTGGATGACCTTTTTGTGGTCTTTGCTGCGTTCTTTGAGAGAATGATTGCTTTTGCGATCGATGGGAGATTATTTTAACTTAGAAGACCATGGAGATTGTGGAAATATCTAGAAGATCCTAAGAGATCATGGCGATGGCTGGTAGAGATATTGACAGTTTTATAACGCTCAACAGTCTCTAAAAAGTCACAACCTCTGTGTAAATAGGGTTTAACCTGTTGTCTCAGAGGTTTTTTTTATACTACATGTATATGTTAGTAATTAAAACAACTATACAAAGGAACGTTTTCTTGTAGACTGTGCAACCACTACCTGTGGTTGAAAGATAATTTTTGCTGTAATAATCATGACTGTTTTGGCAATAGTGCTTAATTACAGAACAAATTCCATTTCATTATGTATATTTTCAACCGTGAGATATAGAAATGCTCCATGCAAAGTGTTTATATTTTGAAAAGATTTATTTAATTTTGTTCGTTGATATATCAAAGCTACCAGAATTTATGTTTTCATTTTACTGATTTTCTTTCTCGCATAGAATATAAGTTTTCCATCACCCGTGTCTCTCACTCCCGACCCACGGTCTTTGATCCCTGCCCCCGCTGTCTTGGACGCTTTCAGAGACTGGATAAACAACACTGAACTTCGAGACCACGACCATGCTTTGCTGTTCACAGGGTTTGAGTTTGTTTTTTTTTATAATAATTTTAATGAGAATACATTCAAATTGTTATATTCACTTGTACTGTAGTTTTTGAGCATGTCATTTTCAGATACAATTTAACTTATGGAGGATCAGCATCTTCGAAAGGCAAGTCAACTCTTATATTTCTTTTGTAAAATAGTCTTTTCATCATGTTCTTCGAACGATTTTTAAACTTCTTCCTATTGAATATACTTGCTCTTAGAAGCGACTACATGTATACTTTACAAAGTTTCTGTTAAAAATTTTCCTCTAGGGTTATCCTTCCCTGATTCCGTGTGTACAGAGCTGGCCATGTCTGTGGTGGAGGAGTTTTATGATGAACGAACAGCGATTTACGCCGCCCAGGAACTCGGGAGGAGGTGAATATATCTTTAATTTAAAAAATACAGAAAATAAAATTATACACTATACTTCTGCTATGTTAAGTTTTAATGGAATACTGTACTGAAATAAGTTCAGAGTTGGCAACTAAAATTTAATGCTTCTTTGTACAGCCTTGGTTCCAGACTCGACATGGATGGGAATTTCTGCCGATCTACTAATCTAAATATCATGTCCACCAAGTTTGTTTTCAACAGCCCGAAAATATCGAATCTTTGGAAATTTTCAAGATGTTCAAAATCTTATATCAAAGATTTTCTTCAGAAGTTAGACAGGTAATAATTAAGTATACATGTATGAAATGGAAAGATAACGAACAATAATGATGCTCAAATATCAAGTAAAGCACAAACTGTGAGCAGAGCAAACATGGATCTTTAAAAATAAAGGCGGGATCAGGTGCTATGGAGGAGTAAGCATTTCCTGACGACCAGTCGTGTGCCCTTTGTCATGTTCAGGTAAGCGGAAAAATCCGTACACAATAAGCCTGCATGAAAATAATGGCCAAACAAGTTGATGAAAGACGTTAGTCAACACACGTTAGCTAACGACAGATTGTATTTGCAAAAATGGTCATTGCATCGACCACAGAATAAGCGAAATGCTGACTGTAAACGAGAACGTTGATATCCTTGCATCATAAACTGATTGGTCAATTACCTGTCTCGATTTAAAAATTGTTTGTACATAGAATATGCTCTTGCGTATTGAATCACCTTGGAGACAAACTCCTTATGCAAGTGATGATGGTATATTGCTATACGTAAGGGGTGTTGACAATAGAAATGCTGAAGTCATCAAGTGTATCATAAAGTTAATTTGTAAGTTTACCACCAATGTCTAAATAAATATTGTTAAATTGATAAAACGTCATCGATATATCTATATGTCAAATTAAATTCCACAGCAAGAGACTTTCTTCTTCGTGTAGAAGCTATTAAATAAATTCTGCGTCATATTCCTCCTTAGGAGCAATTGACAGGTAAATCTTCATATTCTGTTCCTTGCAGTGATGAGAGCCATTGTCTGAGATCGCCGAGTGATGAAGTTATACCGACAAAAGTTCTCCCGACCCCTGACGCCGATAATCAATGTAAAACAGCTTTTGGGTCAGATTCTTTTTTATGCAGGGTGAGTACAGCAGATCGAATTCATTACAGAAATATAACAGTTATGAAAGGATGTGACTTTATGTGTTTTGATTTGACAGGCCGTGATCGGTACTGATTATCGTGTCCTCTGTGGAGGGATGCCCTGCTTCCTTCCGAAGTCCACCACTTGTTCTCGTATTCTCCCGCTGGACGGAACACTGTGTGGGAACTATTCAGTATACCTACACTTTTCTTACCTCCGTAACTTTAAAAAAGAATTTAAAAAAAGAATTCGGTTTTAATGCATATAAAAAGCCGTATTTTATATTACATATTGCCTGTAATTACTGTTGGTATTTATTTAGGTTTGCCAAGAAGGTGAATGCAAAGTATCAAGTAGTGGCAAAAACGTTCAGGGTAAATAATTACTTTTACTTTAGTTAATGAAGACGTGTGATCATGAGCAATATTTTCAGGCCCACATGTTCTCTCTCTCTCTCTCTCTAATCTATCTATCTAATTTTGACTCGATGCATACCCGTTCGATGTACAAAATATAACATATACGATTCCTCCCTTAAGACCAGTGTCCCTTTGGCGACCAGCCAGTGCTTCCTGACGGTGTGGGATGTTCTGATAGGGTGTATGGCCGGCCGTTCGATTGCTACCTGCCATCATTTAATGCTGCATGTTGTCAGACTTGTGAAGAAATTAAAACGGACATAGAAGGCAAGAAACTGCACATTAAATGGAAAACTTCTCTGTGATTGGCTTCAAAATCACATGACGTAGACCTCAACGTAGCTTTGAATATAGATCTTTGTAGAAATCTTAGTAAAAGAGATGGAAAATTATTGTCATGTACTCTTATTAAATAGTTAAAAATACGCAATTACTAGCTAGAGCTTCGAATGTCATTTCCTTAATTCTTTTGTGTATAAGCTAATTGTTCTTTTTAAGATTGTGAGTACGGTGACCGGATAGACAGATGTCAGTACCCAAAGTGCCCGACTTACAACAACTTCACCCGAGAAAACCTCTGTTGTCTGACCTGCAAAAACGGTAAATCGCCATATTCTGCTTCGACTGACGCGCCATTATCAACTACGTCATCGGATTCTGTTTTCTACGTCACATCTGATGAAAAGATGTCAACTGAAAATGGTTAGGGAATACTGCAGCCCCAAAATGAATAGCTCTTTTTCAAAATCCCCTTAATTTCTCAGTGAATAATGTATCGATCGCAAAAATTCACGAATAATGATTACAATAATTATGTGAAAGTGAACAATGATGTGTTCCGTTTATTATGACAGGCACTTCACTCATAAGCACTACAACTCCAAAACCATCTACAACAACTGAATCAACTTCACTTGCACAGCTTTCTACCAGGACTGAAACACAAACAACAGAATCAACAGCCCTGACTGATTTGACTAGCACATTGATAAGCACTGCTTTACCGACACCATCTACCGCGACTGCGTCAACGTCATTAGCGCCGCTCTCGACGAGGACTGAATCGGATACAACAGAATCAAGTTCATCAACTGATTCAGACAGTACTGAATCCAGTGTCAAAGTGAGCTCATCTACTGCTTTTGTTACCAAAGAATTCACTTCAACAACTAATTCTCAAACTGAAAGAACAGAATCAACCTACAAGACATCACTGACATCAACCCTAAGTACTCCGAGGTCACCAACAACGAATGTCGTTTCATCCACTACATCCACTAGACCTTCTGGATCGGTCACGACAGTTAGAAGCACCTCCAGAAGATCAACGATATCCACGCTTCTGCCAACTACCTCTAGGTATCAGAGCACATGACTGAATAATTTTGTATAACTCATCAACAATTTGTTGCTTTGTTATGTCTCTGCATCATTCTACGAGCTTTTGTTAAATAGAATGTGGGAAATGATATTTTAAGAATGATCGAACGCATATTAAGTTCGATAATTTAAATATCAATATAGATCTGGTAAACACGTTTACTGATTATATTGAAAATTGTGTGTGAATTTCTGTTTTCTTGTAATCTGCTTTGTTGCAGTAGTGTATTTTACATCTTCCTTTCTGGAAAATCCCTAAGTACTTTTTCTTACTGGTATCTGTTTCTTTTTTCAAAAAGAACCACTCAGTCTAGAAGCACTGTGTTTCCAACTTCTTCTGACATTACACCATCAACACAATGGCCAATATCATCACAAACGACAATAATACCAACCACTTCATCAACACAGATGACAATGGCGCCATCTTCTGGTAGTAGTGAGGAGAGTGATTCTTCCAATAGTGATAGCAGCGAGAAAAAGAGAAGTACGTGATTGCTTATACAAGTTTTTTTTTACGATCAACTGTCTGTTAATGCCCCATAACTTGGCATGCCTATTATTCAAGAATACTTTATTTCCACACGTAGTTTCGCGATACTGCCCTGCGATATAAAAAGGTGAAGATAACGAACAGTGATCGATCTCAAAAAATTTATAAACAATACAAATCTGTGAAGATGGTATAAAACACGGACCCCTGGAAATTTCAGATACGGGATCAGGTGCCTAGGAGGAGTAAGCATCCCCTGTTGACCGGTCACACCCGCCAAAATATGATCTCTTCACTGATAGAGTGGTGTGAGTCGAATTTTCCAGTCGGCGAGAAAAGTTTTGATGCTGTTTATGGAGATAAAAGAAAATAAAGAGAGGCATGCCATATACAGTTATGTACATAAATTATCGTAGAAGAGAATGGTAATAAACAGTTTGCCAGTGCATTTCATCTGAAAGCGTAATTGACTGATTCTGAGGAGGGGGGTTTACTCCATGTACATTCTGAGTTAGATATCCTGTGTTCTTAATATACTATCGGTTAGAAAACTTATTACAGCAACAAGTGGCTCATCTGTGGGTTTGTACTCCGACTAAATACATATTGCCTTTTAATTTGTTTATTCGTTTTTTTTTCAGAGAAGGAATGGAAGAAGAAATTGAAGAAAATGGAAAAAGAAAGAAAGAAAAATGAAAAGAGGATGAAAGCTTTGAGGAAGAAAAATGAAAAGAGAATGAAAGCTCTGAGGAAGAAATACGAAAAGCTAATAATGCAACTTGAAAAATATTTCATGCTTCCAAGTTTTCAACGCTTCAAGTTTTTCCAATAATTCCTAATTTATTCATTTGGATGGTTCTAATTTAGGAAAATTAAAATTTCTGTTGAATCAAGTCTTGAAAGATAATTTGAGTTAGAGATTCAAAGGGTACTATCGACGTTGGCATCATTCAATTCTTTCTGTATAAGAAAGTTTATGAGTATATATAAGAAAAAAGTGGTCAGTTTTCATCTGGCATACACTCCAACTTCAACAATCAGACTATGTCACGCTGATAAAGAAATATAAATACGTATATGTATAATTAAATTTTACATTATCGAATAATTGTAAATCTAATAATAAAAGGAGGCAAATGTGGAGTTTTTTAAATCTATGTTAGGGTCATCTTTATGTACATATCTATACAGACATACTTTGTATCTGCTTATCAACCGGTTTTGTTTGTATGGGAAAAAAAGTTGGATTCAAATATCTACAGCGAGAGGACCCAAGTGTCACAACACTAGGAACATTTCTCTCTGACAAATATGCCCCAATTCACTTGTAATAATATGGCTAAAACTCTGCCAGTTATGCTTAATATCCGGATATTCTCTTTAAACAGTTGGGTAGTAGAAATTTCTCTTTGTGTAGTTATATACATTTGTTTTATTATCTCGTCAACCTGTTATTTCGTCAACTAGCATATCAAAAACGTAGATGCTTATAAACAATTTAGGATATACTCTGTAAAAAAAAAAAAACGCCATTCGCATATAAATATCCAAAGGATAGCTTATATCTCAATGAACAAGCATGCATGGTTTCTAAAAAAAAAATAATTGGTTATTCCACCGATCAATAATAATTTCTTATTGATTATTTATTCCCACTCACTCAATCTTCTGTCTTGTGCTTGAGGCAACGGCAAGGGATCTCCATCTGGCTCGGTCTGCAGATTCTTGAGGCGCTGTCTCCATGGTCAGATCTCTGATCTTCGGGTCTCCTTTGGTTGGTCTCTGTTTCTTTTTACCTGGAGTGTCCATGGGCCCTGGGCAGCGAGCTGGGGGGAGGGGGCATGCGTAGAACGTGACCAAGCCTGCGTCTTATTTCGATGGTCTGCGATATTGTTGGCATCACACTTCTATTCAGCAGCTCTTCGTTAGAGATGGTGTTAGGCCAGAAGATCTTAAGAATGCGTCAAAGGGATTTGGTTTGGAAGACTTCGAGTTCTTTTTTTTCAATGGCCAAAGATGTCTTCTAGAACACTGATCCATACAAGAGGGCACTAAGGGCTTTGCTGTTGAAGACCCTGATCTTGGTGTGGATGTTAAGACCTATGGATCTCCATTCGGGCTTCAACATTACAAAAGCTTGGTTTGCCATGCTGATCCTGATGTTCATTTCCCTGTCCCAGTCGTCCACTGTGGTGACTTTCATGCTCGGATACAGGATTTTTTCCGGGGGGGGGGGGGGGAGTAGGACGGTGTCCACCCTATTTTTCAAAGAATCTTACCATTTTTGTGGACAAAAAAAGTAAACAACTCTAAGCCTGAAAAACCTATTTAGTAAGGGGGAGGGTGTAAAGCCGTTTTTTCCACTTCATAAACTTCATTTATATGACTCTTTGTCTCCCAAGTTACGAGGGATCCACGTCTCCTTGGGGAGGAGGGACGTTAAAGGTCATTTTGCAATTACTTGATTATTATGATCATTACTGGGTTACTGTTGTTAGTGATGACTTGTGTCTTTTTGACGTTGACCTTCAATCCGATTATGCTAGCTGTGGTACTGCTCAAAATATTCTGTTTTTTAATTCCTGGATATCTTGGTGTCTGTTAGATAGGAGGCTAAGAACATCAGTACCAGGTCCTCTAGGATTTAGGTTATAGTCCATTGTAATCCCTGTCTTCTACTTGTGTGACCTTCCTCATGACTCAGTCGGTTGCCAGGGAGAATAGCACAGACAACAGGATACATCCTTGCTACACTCGGGTGTTCACTGCAAAGGGCTTTGTGAGCTGGTTGTTTTGTATCACTCGGCACTCAAATTTGGAGATGGACAAACAAGCCGAGAAAAATGCCTATGGTTCGACAAATAAGAAAAAGTTAAATCTCAATTATAACATAATTTTCTTTAATATTTCAGTTAACATTAATGTATACTTTATGTAAAATCTGCACAATTTGTAACAATCTCATAAGTGTTAAAACTATTCGCTAATGAAAAAGCATGCACGCACCACAGAGGGAAGAGGGCAAAAATGATGCATGTCTTCATACTACTTAACACAATTTTTTCTATATATGTGGGTCTTCGATCCATTTTCTAAAAGTTTATCTTCAAAGTATCTATACTTATAAATTAATAATTAAATTTTGCAAATAAACTCCGAAACGGGTGAACCAGAGCTCTTACTTACTCCTCTAAGAATACACAAGATACAAGATGATGTCCGTAAACTATATTTAGATTTCACTTGCATTGTAAGTATCGTACATTAAATCAAAAGTCTACTTTTATTTTCTATGAACAGCCATGAAATTAGTCTTGTCCCATGATCCCTTGCACTTCGTTATTCCCCCAAATCCACCGCAACCCCTAATAAAACATTTTTCAGGCACTCTTTTTATCTCTTATTGTTGTACTTTTAGATAAATTAAAACTCTGAAATTAAATACCTGTCTATAGCATAAAATGGAATACATAGTGTCATACTACATAAAAGATGACATTACTTTTTTTGTATTAAATAGGATTAAAGTCTGAAAAATATGCTTTCTGAAGATATTCATTCTTGAAGCCAAAGAAGTGCCATAAACTAGAGCCAATGTATTTTGGAATGATTCTGCTCGAAAACTTTATGAACCCTGTGGATCATCTGTAACTGGAATCTTGATAAAGATTTTTATACTGGTATGTGCTTATAAATGATGAATTTCAGTGCAACTATGTTTGTTTTATTTTGATATCCTTTTGCAAATATGTTAAAGTATTCCTTAATATATGAGAAAATTACATACATTTGTGTTGTTATAAAATACATGTACTTTACCTTGCATTTCAATTTTTTTTATGCACCCGGATCGATAGATCGGGGGCGCATATTGTTTTTGTCCTGTCTGTCTGTTGTCAACTTTAACCTTCACCATAACTTTTGAACCATGAGAGATAGAGACTTCATATTGGGTATGCTTACTCCACTAATTAAGCTCTTTTAAATGACACCAAGGTCAATGACCTTGTGACCTTGACTGTGACCTATATGCTAAAAATAGCTTTTTTCGAACTTTGTTGCCGCCGGGTGCATAGTGTTTCACAAACACATCATGTTTTTTACATAATATTAGAGCTTTATTTTTGTTTCAGTTTTACATGCATTTTCACTTTGGCACTTGTTCTCTTTTTTGGTTTGAAGATGTTATTAATTTCTCTCAGTTTTTTTTAAAAGCATTATTAGCGATAAAATGCTTAGAGTGTTAATTGTAAATTATCGGGTTGTAAACATCAACATGGACACTGAATTATAAAGATATCATGTTGAGATCATCTACAGGATGAAAAGTAATATGTTTTGATAAGAGATTCAAAACATATGTATTTTATTTTATTCATTAAAATCAGAAGTATTTATACTGAATTCCTTCTATTTACTCCAGGTCATCACTGGTCACTACTGTAAGGACACATGAAAGAAGAATGGTGTTGCAGCGTTATCTATAACTTGTCTATAAGCTGTAATGAAGTATTAAATCTGTATGTTTTTTTTTTTATTTTAAAAATGAATATATAAGGATTGCAAAGAAGCAGTTGCATTCAAACCTTCCATATTAGAAAGTGGGCCAGCTAGGACCAGTGTTCAATCATTTTACTGGTCTTTGGCCACCCCCTATTTCTAATTACAAAAATGAACAGTATTGGAGAACCAAGACTGGCTATATGCTATTCACCATTGCTTGATTTAGCTAAAATATATTAGACAAATCTTAAAAGTCACAATAGTGTTCAAAATAAAGCAAATTTTTTGCTGTGGCATTTTGTTTCTTTAATTTAATTGTTTTAAATTGGAATTTTGGAAATAAAATAGAAGGTTCAGTTCTAAAATAATGAACCTCTTTTGGATGCTGAACATGAAATGGCAAGGGAAAAATCATATGTGTTCAGAATAATAGAAGGAATGAGCAGCCTTTCCAACTCCACTCCAAAGTCATACAAATGTGAGTTTATATTTTACAGTGTATTTGTTTGGTTGTTGTTTAACATCCCTCTCGAGAATTTTTCACTCATATGGAGATGCCACCACTTGCTGGTGGAGGGCTGCAAATATTGGACCTATACTTGGCACTCATGCAGGGCCATTGAGCAGTGAGGGATCTTTTTGTGCCAGCACCTACTGCTACACGGGACTTCGGTTTATACAGTCTCATCCGAAGGATGCGAACCCACGATGTAAGGATCAACTCCTTACTTCACGACTCTAGAACAAATGCTCTAACCCCTGCGCCATGCGGGCGACAATATATTTTACAGTGTGTAGCTCTCATAAATGTATGAATAAAATGGGGGTGGTTGGATGGGTTATACACATCTGCAGGCATTCAAAACACTGTCCTCCTACTTGCTAAAGGCTTTCTCTTGCTGATGAAAGTATGAACACAACTTGTGATTAATTTGCGATCAAAAACACAATGGGTTTCATCTACAACAATGAAAGTGCCTTGAACATTTCTTGCTGCCTGCAACATGTATTGAGAAGAACTCAAAAGATCCCCAGAGTGTCCAAAGTATAATTCTTTTGTCAGAAAAAGGCCAAACATGATCATATCTCTATCTCATATTAATTAGTTAATGTTAACAACTGGTTAATGTCCCAAAGAACTAAAAAGACAACCAGGCTAATAATACTACCTCACCCCCCTCCATTACACACACAGAGTATTTCTGCAAGCATGGTAAGTGTGTGTGTGTACATTGTATCTGTCAGATAGATGTCGATACACGCGAGCAACAAC